GTTTCCACATATCACGTGTAACTGGACTGATGGCTTGTTGCCACATATCTAAACTATTTTCTCTACCATAACCTTTTTCACTGTGCCGGTTATAATGTTTTTGCAAATTCCCCACATATTTTCAATGGGATCGAAAACGCAATGGAAAGGAGGCAACCGCAGTATCTACCACGTGTCCATTTTGTAATGCGATCTTATCAGCAGCATACCGTTTTGAAGGTTTGTTTCTGAAGTAACAAAATTTTAGTCTTGAAACAAAAACAAACCTCGCAACAATCTCCAGCAATTCCACTTTTCATTTGGACACTCAACATTTTTGTGCTGTAATTGTGCTTTATTTTGGCACCATTATCTCTTTTTCGTTCACAATAATGAATAAGATTAAAAATAAGTTGCTTACTTTTTCTTGGTAAACCCGGTGGCATTATTGGGTTATACAAGCTTTGACGCAGCGTATCGCAGTGGGACTTACTATAATTGGTCGTTATGAAACTAACGGTTCTTTTATCGGCAATTTTAGCAAAACGCCATAACGTAATAAAAACAGTAGTAAACATCAGTTGTCAAATGTGACGTGTCGCAATATAAACGTAAACTACTGTTCAATTTCAATTAACAAGTAACCTGAAAACCATAAAAACCTTTTCACTAAAGGTTTTCGGTTTTATTTTTTACTCTGCCCCAAAAAAACCATATTTTGTGATAAATCTAACATAACACCATATTGACCAATTTAGATTCATTTCAACCATATTGTTAAAATACAAGATGGACATTTCGGGAATTATTGGGAAAGTTTTGTCTTATTTAAAGAGCTATATGAGAGCGAATGAAAGAGACCCATTTTTTACGAAACAAAGTGGTACAACTTGAAAATGCTATCCGCTTGCAACTAAGCAGAATTTCCACAATACGTACCAAATTGTAATCCGTTATTATTATACGTACAACAACCCTATTCAAGGATTATACCTTATCGGGGTCGCTTTATTAAAACAATTCGCAATAATATCTAACCTGTAGCAACTACCCCAGGTTTTAGGGTAATCATCCGTAAAGCTCCCTCGCATAATCCTTAGAAAACGCTTACCTGGACTTTATAGATCCTGTATTTATTACACACAAAAGCGGGCAGTTTTATTTAACAATGATATAAGTCGATAAGTGGTTGTTGCAACTACAATCTTTAATTACCGGAAGCTTTTAAATGGAAGCTTTCATCGAAGTAAGTATTTTCTTAGCGATAGAAATCGATCCCTTCGGCATTGTGCTAAAATCAAATAATATTTTTTCGAGTGTAATCGATTTATGCAAGTTCTCGGTCTTGTTGAAGTACTTTTAGTTCGAAAGGAAAACATAATTGCGTTCCGGTAATATAAGCCTTCCGGAAATAACATGGCACGTCTATCATGGGAAGTGACGTCAAATGTTTGTGAGGGCGCATTCAAATGCACCCCTTTAGTTGACGTCGCTCGCTTCATCTTGAGATGCTGAGGGTGGAGCCCATGAATATTATATTAACAAAACTTTAGAGATCAACGTGAGGAAAATAAATTAAATTTCTCTTTGTTTTCGTATCAGTTCGTTTCGTAAGCAATTTTGGTATCGCTTTCAAATAAACGAGGTAGAAAGGAAAACAATTTTGGGGACGATATGCAACCTTATAATGATAATAAATTGAAAATCGCACTTAACCAATGGCTTGTATATTATGTTGTGTAACTGTTGTAAGGATAACAAGAATTGCTGACGTTTTTCAGGATTCGAGAGCAGCTTTAGTTCGATTTTACCGAGTAAATTTGGGTTGCTCAAGTAATGAAAATCTGTTGCCTAGCAATTAGGCGAGAAAAACTGTCATCTAATAAAAATACAACACCGAAAAAAGATTGGTAGGGATTAATCCGGAAGAGATTTTTGATGGCATTCGGAAGAACCCGTGTAGCGCTCAGTGCAAATAATCAAGCGTTAAACATTGAGGTTTCGGCTGTGGTAGAACTCAAGTCTAATTAAATTTTTATTACCCATAGAACATAAAGTATTTGGCAAAATAAGTAGTTTGTTGTTTGAAGTTTCTGCGGGAATAGCGAATCAGTGGTGAGAGGCGACCGAAATCGGCACATTTTTATTTGGCCAAGATATCAGCGTCTTTTGTTTCCTCGTGCGAGAATTACGTAAAGTTCGCAGGCAACGAATAGAAAGATTACTGTAAGTTTTAATTTCAACTAGAATGACGTTCCGTTAATAAGGTTATTGAGTGCCTTAAATTATCGTTTAATGAATGTGACAATTAGGGACAATCCACCTTAAATGAAAGTGAACGTTTCCGATAAATCAATATAAATTCAGGGTGGCGGCTTGTGAAGAATTTAAAGAGAACTAATATTCGAGAAAATCAAGCCCGTTAAGATAAGAAACGAGAATTCAAACAGAAAGAGTCGTAACGCTGCAGTGTTGCCGGTTCTAAAAACCGTCGTGACGATGGACGGTATTTCTGGGTGGAAGATACATTAGTCAAACTTTTTAAGCGAACTTCTGCGTGTGGAGCGCTGCATTTTTCGATCGCGAAATTCTTCGCCAAGCTTTCAAGGTGAATCTTGTGAGCGGTGTCGCCCTTTTCTGAGATGGTGTCAAATTTCATTGTTAATTAAAAGTTTAAACCGAAAGCAGTATAACCGCAGTATATAAAAAAATCGTTTGTAGAGCAACCGAGATTGTGTCACCATTTTCGACGAATTTATTGTTGTGAGTACTACAATCAATGGGAGCTGCCCTTTCGAACAAAACAAATAATAAAAGGATCAAGAGAACTTTGTTGTGTAGCTAAAACTAATGGACGGCGGACTATGTTCAACTGAAAATATCGTGCGAATAAATGCTTTTTCAACACGTACATGAATATTTGCCGGTCACGATCGGATTAAAGTGCTTGCATTTAAATACATTTTTACAACGAAAGCGTTGGGGTCCAAAGTGCAAAACATTTCATTGCACTATATTTGAAGTGGCTAGTAACGGTATTAGATCTACATTAAACGGCAACAGGTGAAAAAGTTCAAGACAATTAATTCGTGCTCCCTGAATTACTTATAAGGGTATTTTTGGACATTTCCAGACTGCGGAACCTGGGTAACTATTCTAGTAAATAAATCAAAGTTTAACTAATAAACTGCGTAAAACCCGCAGCACGGTTTGTTTTGGATTCAAATGGGTCAACCATCTTTCGAGATTCACTTTCAACGAGTAACCAAATTTTTCCTGGCGGTGCAAAGGGTTCAATTGTATTGCATAAAGCGTTCCACCATCCAATTTTGCAAATTGCTGCTACCCTTCGAAAGGAGAGAATCAAGTGGAGAAAGTTTTGACTCTTCAATAAATTTGTAATTTAGTTCGAATTTTTTGCAGTGTGTAACCATAGGAGTCAATTTTTTTGAGCATTTTATATAAATTATTTATATTTAAAGTCATTCTAACATTTCTGAAGAGGTCGATCCACTGGAATTTCTCCTGTGAACAAACTTGTGTATTTTTTATGAATGATAACATGATAAGTGAACCCAAACCAAAGATATTGGTACTTTTTTTCTTCATTAATTGTGAAGTTGAAATTTAAGTTTAGTGATACCACTCTTTTGTGTGCGTTAAATTTCATATTAGCATCCAGAGGCGTGTCAATTTATTTTGAATTGAATCTGTACCAGGTGTTTGATTAATCTGCGAATTGGCTATTTAGAGCCTGATGTTATTTCATTAAAAAATATTACCTAGGAACTCATTAGCAAGGACTTATAGTTTATTTGATCTCATTTCAATTTAAGGTTTAATTTGTTTTAGTTATTGAGAATTTCCTTGTAAATAGATTCAAATGTATTAGTCGTAATGTGCACCTATTTTTAATTTTTTAATTTTTCATAGTTATTCAAATAGGGGTAGCTAGGATAAAATCTGGCCACGATTTAGAATTACTTTGATCAGAATTCAGAGTAGAAATAATCCAAGTTATGAATGGAAAAATGTAAAGTGAAATGGAAGTTAGATCTAAATTTGTTTTTACCAATAGGTATATTTATTTTATTTACCACAATTGCGTATTTATTGTTTACTATCAAGGAAACGAGGTTCAAATTTGATTTTCATGGTAGAAGCAAAGAGTAAAAGATTATCATTAAAAGAATGGTCGTAAAACATTAGAGGATCAATGAAGTTCTATGTAGAAGGATTTATTTTCACAGTAGAAATATCAGATTATTTAAGACAGGTAAGGGATGGTCAGCCCCTTTATTTGTAACCCTCCTTTCAAAATGCCGCTCAAACGTAGAGTTTAAAAAGATAAAAGTCGGTTGCAAAACGGCGACCAACGTGGGTTTCAAAAGAAAAGGTTCAGAAAAAGCAAATGTGTACAAAATTTGAAATGTATGAGTCAGATCCTATAAAAGTATAAAATGTATGTATAAAATGTTTCACTTGCCAAAATGGCATCTTAAATAATAATTGGTGGAGAAGAGAAGACATACACACAAATTGGAAGATCACCATCAAAACCAACTTTGACAAGTAACACGTTCATACTTTAGTTACCGAAACAAATTATATGACTAATTCATTTTAGAGCAAATTGACAGTAAAATGGTAATTGTAATGCAATTTTGTTGAGCGTTGGGTTATAAATCCGGAGGTCGGGTGTTGAACCTGGGTTGAGGTGAATTTTTCATCTGTGGCAGAGATGGGAATTACCTTAAACCAGTTTCTAGCATTCTGCCGGCTACTCCGAATAAGGTTTTCCTGCAGTTTTCCTAATTCGTAAGGTAAATACCGGAGTAGTATCGAACAACTTAAGATCTTCTGCAGGGGCACCTCTAAAAAAAGCATTATGCGGGTCACTCTGTAATTGGGCTGTAAAAGGTACTCCTAGTGACCCTCTCCACCAAATCGCATCTAAAAGTAAGTGACAGTTTAAATAAAGTGGAAAGAGACCCTAACTGGAGATAAAAGCTTCTATTTTATTATAATTCTACAATATCACCTACAGGCATATAACGCACTGCGCTGGCAGTAGAAGAACGTTTTTTCCACCCCGATACTACCACAACCATATCACCCAGTTTCAGGAACCGTTTCCTTAAGCCGTATTTAACTGCAAACCCTATACACATATCAATATCCTCCAGCCAGTCTTCCGCTTCGGGTTCTAAAAGGGCACTTTCTTAATTAAACTTCATCGAAACACTGACAATCATTACCGTTAATATATAGCGGCAATATTGATCTATACAGTAGCCAATGAGGAATTAACTTTTTATTGCGTGTAACGGCAATGATTGGGCATCCCGGTCTGTATTTAGATATTAATTTTGCCGAAATGTCATTGTAATCTACAACGACCAGCGCCGAAGCTTGACACTTTTCAACAGCTTCCACTGCAGAAAGTGCAACACTGTGCGGTATATCCACAGGGAACTTTACTTTGCTCCGGATGATCAATGATATCTCTTTCTGGTATGCCACAGTTTCAGCTTCTTTACAAATCAGAACCATTTGATTTACGTAACTGACGGGATCTGGTCCCTTCGCCGTCTCATCCGTTAACACAACGCAGTCCATTCCATCAACAATTAAATTTGCGACGTCCGCAATATCGGGACGGCTCGGTTTGTTTCTTCTAACCATCGATTCCATAACTACAGTGACACATACGACGGGTTTACCGATAGCCGTGCAGTTAGCGCTAATCGACTTTTGTGCCAGAAAGATCTTTTCTGGAGGTACTTCCAGTCCCAAAATAATACGCATAATCATAACACCGTCACTGGCGCTAATGATTTCCTTTATGTTCCGCAAGCCCTGGTGGTTTTCTATTTTCGATACGATCAACACATCCTCTCCTCGTTTGCCAAGAACGTTGCGAATCTCGATCGGTCCATAAATGCTTCTTACGAAAGAGGCAAAGATAATATCGACACCTTGCTCGACAGCAAAATTGATATCCTTCTTGTCCTGCTCGGAAACATCCGGTAGGTCCAAATTCGCGCCCGGTATTTTAACGTCCGCGCAACGCGGTAATAGCCCGCCGACCTCGATAATACAATTCAGATAGTCGCTCGCCACCCCAGTGCATATAAGCGAAATGTTGCCGTCGTGGAGATAAATGCGCGCGCCCCGACTGACAAATTTGATTATGTTCTCGTAGTCGACGTAAATGATTTTGTTGGTTCCCTTTTCGGCGTACTCCTGATCGATGGTTAGCTTTAAAATCTCGCCTCGTTTCAATGTGGTCTCGCCTAATCCAGCCTAAAATGGATACAGGGCTACAAAATTAATGGAGCCGTTCACTACAATTTTGGAACTAGCACCTTGATTCTAAATTCGACATGGCGCTCAAGGTTTCCTCGCCATTTTAGTATTTTTGGAAAAATTTAGACTTTTGTACCCTATTGATTTACAGTCATAGGACGCAACTAAAGCATTCAAAATAGAACTCAACGACGTCTATTGATGGCTAGCCTCACAATTTTAAAGGATAAAAAGTTACATCGTTTTTCACTCTGGGTTAGAATAGTATATTTATTATACAAGACGATAAAGGGAAGTTTTAACCATTGAGTGAATTAACTGTCGCGAGATGATTGCTTTCCCTGTATCGTCGGGTATAATACAAAACTTTACTTTATAGCAGAAGACATTTAAATCATTATAAAACTTGAATTTAATTTTAATGTTAAGCAAGATTAGGTTCTACCGTCGTTTCCATGGACACAAATGGTTTTCTGTTTTTATTTTATGTCGTGCTCCGCGTCCCATTTTTAATAAGAATGACACATGTCATTAGAATTCACGATCATTTGTTTCACTTTAACTACCCTTGCAATTAAAATGATCGACTTTTACTGTTAGCGTTAAAGCGCGACAGCCTGCTCATTCAAACCTATTAAAATGTCAAGTAAGCATCTGCTATAAAATAAAATTTTAAAATTTTTAATAGATCTTTTAGTGCGAACTAAGTCAATTTGCGAAAGTGGAAATTACCATCCTACTGACTGTGTTTGTAAAAACGTGGTGTTACCCTATCAACACTGCCGATTCTAATTTCCGGTCCCCTAATATCAACAGCTATAGCAAGCGAATAATATGATCCAATTTTTTTACTGTAACCTTCAACTGCTTTTCTTATATTAGATATGGTTTCGGCGTGGTATGCATGAGAATCGGACGCCAAATTTAACCTTGCGATTGTCATTCCTGCTTCCATCATTCCTTCTAATACATCAACACTACGCGATGATGGTCCTGTTGCACATGAACTAATTAAAACACTAAAAAGGTGTAAAATAGTACCTATGGTGCAAATAATTCCAGTTAGTGCCACATTTGCGACGGGTTTATAGACACTTAGTGAGCACAAGTGCTCTAACCGGTTGACTGCCTCCATTACATACGTCTGAACGTAGTTATGTGTGGAAAGATGTGTGGCAGCTTTTACTACCGTAACAATGTCAGTTGAACAATTGAAATGTCAAAAATGTGACATTTGCATAGTAGGTTACTTTCGTAGATACACTGCACTGTGACAGAACATTTCTTCAATCATGAGAGAGCAAAGGTACAGGGTTACTACAAATGATTTATCGGGTTGTTATCTTTGCTATAGTGTATTGCACTTACAAAAAGCAGAAACTCTCCAAGTTTACTCAACAAATTACTAATGTTCGATGTGTGTCCCATTTGTTACACGACATACATCCAAAGCTATCTAGCTCAGACGTAAGGAATGCAATCCCGCAGCAAAATTTCGATCGCGGCACCGTTAGGTGTTAATCCTGCGGGATCTCGCAACATTTTAAACATATTGGGAAAAAAGCAATTTTGTGCGGTTAACCGAATATTCTCGAACAAAACACATCGTATTTCCCTAAAAAAATGCGCCACATCCGCCTTTGTTTCTTGTGGCCGGTGACTAATCTTTTATGACGCCTCCATGTCTATCTGGATTCTAGAATATTCGCTACAATATTTCCATACCGCCACTTTACTACTATAGTCAAAAACAATCGACGAGTTCGACATATTGCCTATAAGAATAACGGTACCTACGTTTAAAACAGTAGCAAGAGAGATTTACTGTTTAACAACGTTAATAACATATACATACAAGTTAGCGCGTAATTATTGCATGAACTGCAACAACATAAAGTACGAAACCGTCAAATTCACGGAGTTGCAAGTGTATGAAAAAACGGAAAGCGAACCCAACTGGTATCACGACGGAAACCGGCAATACTACAACAATTGTTCATAAAGATCGTCCGTTAATGTTTGTGCACCAGGAATTCTAGATGCGTTCTGTTACTGCTTTCGATCTAATAAAATTGTTCTAAAGAGCTGAGCTTTGCACAGACCGACTATAGAATCCTCCCATTTCTTCGATGTGGAACGGAAAGAAGGAAAAGATCAACGTGTTTCATTCCTCCGACACCCCGAGGGATACCGGAGGCGGGCTGCTCAGGGTTTCCTGGCCCTCTTCAGCTAGAGAACGGGAATGGAAGGATGACCAATGAAAACCGACTTGAAACAGCGACGGCGCAGTTAAAAGGAGAAACGGCGCGAAGGCGAAGGGACAACCTCAAGGAGTCCATACAGAGGATGTACGCCAACGACAGAATCCGTGGGAAGCTTAACGCCGAATTCTATTCCAGAGAGCAGAAAACGGAGTCCGTCCACTTCTGCATCACGATTAGCGACATCAACCTCCCGAAAGAGCTAATACATCCCCGCATCATGGAAACGGATCGGTGCGGCGGTTGGAAACTACATCCGACGCTGGACGACACGGCCCTCTTGGATTCCAAGTCGACCCACAACTTCGTAAGGTGCTTGCTTCAGAGATTCGACGCTGCGTCGACACAACGGCCAATAGGGCAGACCCGAACCAACACCTCTACATCGCAAGCGTTATCACCCTTCAATACACTCTCCGCGGACAGGTAGAGCGAAACAAATTCCTTCTCGCTTTAACCCGCGTATCGCCCATCATCCTCGGCCCAGCTTGGCTAAAGAAACAAAAGGCCGTACTGGATTGCGAATGGAGCCGCATTCACCTAGACGAACACGCCTCGCCTCCGCCACTCACCGCATTCGACTACGCCAAGACACACCCTTCCGAGTCCCCCCCCCCCTCCTCCGGTGCAAGTATTTCTCGGAGAAGAAACAGATGATCGCCGACCAAGTCGAGGTAATATGACAACCAGGGTAATCAAGCTACTGGCAAGGACGTTTCGATGCCCAACTCAACATAGTGCAGTGCCATCATCACGTGAACGTGCCGTCGTATGGGCAGTCGAGCGATTCCGACCGTACCAGGGCTTACCCCCCAAAACCGACAGCCGAGCCTTATTATGGTTGGAGCGCACGAAGGACAAACGCAGTAATACACAATATGGGCACTCCAACTACAAGAGTTCTCGTTCGACGTTGTCGACTGTCCGGGCCATACCAATGAACTACCCCGATATCTGTGTCCCACAACCTGCCGACGAAAATACCACCGATGATGCTTCCGCCCTTATCCGAACCAAAAAACGCCGACGAACCTTCTAGCATCGCAAAGATCTATGTTGCAGAACTGGCCGAGTAGGCCAAGGAAAGTCAAAGAACCAACCAACATGCGCACAACCTGCTGGACGCTTGGAAGAGTATCCGAGCGGAAGACTGATGCGAGACCACACCGTACGCAACGACCTCCTATACGAACATGGTCAGCAGGAACAACTCCAAGTCACGCCCTCCTATGGTACGAGCTCCTTCCACCGGGCGAATGACACGCAAAGGCCAACCCACCTGCCAGAGTGGAACAGAGCGGAGCGCAGAAAGAACTGTCGAATGGTTCACCAGAATCAACACATTTTACTGATCACGCTACGCTAACTACGGACCCACGGAAGACTTCAGGCGGAAATGACACCCCGCCATCACACAAGCCGCACAGCAGCAAACGTATATTGGATACAGAAAGACAACGGGCAGAAGATAAAGGTACACATTCACGTCCATTGTTGTGCACCGGGACGTCCACGCACTCAACCGCCTGCAGCGTCGACACCTCCACCCAGGATCATCAAGTCAATTTTCCATGGTCATTTGAGACATAGTTATTTCGGACCTTCGTCCCCAAAAGTCCCAGATATAATTAAATTATCACCAACAGGGAAATCCGTGTGCGAGGTCGAGAAAGTTGGATGCACGTACAGTAAAAAATAAATCGACCATTTTATCGCCTAAAACATTACTTTTCAAACACATATTATTTATGCGTATCCTCTTCCGACACTCTTTTTCGAGATATTCGCTATTATGTCGACTTTGGACCTCACCGACGGATGCGCTTGCTTCGTCCACATCTATCGCATTTTTCCCTTGAAAGTACCCACTTCCAACACTCCGTTTTTAAGGTATATGTGTGATTGTGTGGGTTAGAGGAGGAGATATTGCAGTATGTTGTGTGTCTTGTTGGGAACCAGAACTTTTGTTTACGCATGGGTAATGTTTAAGAATTTCCGAACTATATGTCATGGGTTGATAATGACTGCTTCGGTAGCACCATTTTAAACGTTTAAAAAGGAATAATAGCAATAAATATTTCCATCAAATGAAATACGAATGTCTGCGCAAAAAAATTAAAGTCGATATAAAAAATGCATATTCAAAATATCTGTCCAATCTAGAGGTCGAGATGAAGTCCAACATGAATGTCTTTTGGACACATATTAAAAACTTGCGAAAGGACCGGTCATTGGAGCAGGAAATGTATCTCAACAATGTCACGTACAGCAATTCCTCAGAAATATCAAATGCTTTTGCGACGTATTTCTCATCAGTTTACAAACAAATACCTCCGACTTACAAAATTGAACCAAACCATACCAAAGTAACTGTTTCGGAACCATTGTGTATAACAGAGATAAATGAGATAGAAATCGGTGAAGCAATTGAAGAATTAAAGCCCAAGAAATGCTCAGGACCTGATGGTATTCCTGCGTATGTTTTAAAAGGTTGCAAAGATATATTTGTTCCCGTATTTAAAATTTTATTTAATATTTCAATTAAAGCTAACAAATTTCCTTCTAAATGGAAATCAACAAAAGTATGCCCACTTCATAAATCTGGGTTCAAGAAAAACATTGCAAACAGACCAATAGCTGTCTTATCGGCACCTGCCAAAATATTTGAAAAAGTGTTGCAAAAACGCATATACAATCATGTCAAAACATATCTATATATCCGATAAACAGCATGGATTTATGAAGGGTAGGAGCACTGTAACAAATTTAGTTGAATTCTCATAAAACGTATCGAAAGCCTTAGAAAAAGCAATTCAATATGATGTCATATACACTGACTTTTCGAAAGCTTTCGACAGCGTAAACCACGATATTCTATTAAATAAATTATATAAATTTGGTTTTTCCGACCGCCTGCTAAAGTTCTTTATATCATATCTTGCCGAGCGTACACAATGGGTTACATATCATTCCTGCACATCTCATACGTTTAATGTTTCTTCGGGAGTACCACAAGGATCCAATCTTGGCCCTCTCCTTTTTCTGTTACTCATTAATGACTTACCTGACATTGTTTAGTGATCCTTTACTTTTTGCTGATTTCAAATTGAGTCATCCAATACGGTCATTGTCCGACTGTTTGAAGCTCCAATATGATCTAGATGCAGTGATGGAGTGGTGTAAGGAAAATGATTTGCATTTCAATATTAAAAAGTGCAAATCGTTGAGGTTCTCGCGAAAAAGAGAGGATGCAGTATTTCATTATAGGTTGGCAGGTCAAATTTTGGAAACGACGATCTTGGTATCGTTTTTGATAAGAAATTGTCTTTTAACATTCACATTGAAAACAAAATTAAAGCGGCGTATTGAAGTTTGGGCTTCATTTTCAGATCTTCCAAAGATCTTAAAAACGGAAGTACGTAAAAAATTCTTTATCACACGCTGGTCAGGCCACATCTTGAATATGCATCCATCATATGGGCACGCACCTTATGCAAATAAATACCATCAAGTGAGCTCATCACATTTGCTCTCACTAATTAATTTCAATGTTCCGGACCACAGAACTGGTGAAAATTTTGTATTTTCCCCGCCACAAATGATTTTGTGCTACGCGCAGTTTTGCGATTAGAAGCCCGTTTTCCGAGCGAAGGCAGGATCTGTACAACTTGCAATAAAGAATAGTCAAAATCTAATTCTCATTTGAAATTTTAAGGTTTCGTCTTCCAATTTCGGTTTGGCACCTTGAATTTCCATCAAGAACTAGATGTGAATTCATATTATTTAAGATACCTCAATCTAAATCCATTTTATTAAATCACACAGCACCGATTACACGCATGATGACAACGTTTAATAGCTTACATTCTTTGGAAATTTTCGATGTAACATTATCGCATTTTAAGACACAGTTAATGATTATTTAGTTAGTTTTTTGTTTTTTCGTTACCTTATACTCATCAATTATTATTTATTCATAATTCATATCACAGAATTTAAGAGTTATTTTAGTCCTCAAAACTGTCATTTGATACATTGTATCTGTTGTTTTGAGTATTTCAATAAATAAATAAATAAATAAATTATAATCAAATTATCAAACCAATACTTTTTGTTGCGGAAAAGTAAAAAGGTCCTGCTCGTTAAAACGACATTAAGGACAAATATTTAAATTAAACAGGGGG